AGGTGTATGTAAGTAGTGTGCGAAAGTGTGTGTAAATGTAACCTGACGTCACCGATGTAATCGGACAGCAGACCCACAGGCGCTGCTTTTCTCCACAATGTGCGATCCCTCCAGTGGGTGTTCACCAATTGAAACCTTCTGCTTTTATTTCACTATATTAGTTTATCAACTTTATTGTACATTTAATTAACTTCAAATTTAACTAAATCAACGTTAATCGAACTTAAAACAGGTGACACACAACTTAAGAACTGTCGGTCAAAGTTCAATGTCCAATGTTCACTTAGCACAAAATTATAATCGAGCACACACGATCTCCTCTCGAGTCACAAAGTTTTAGCGTTCCAGCCGACAAAGCATAATTCCTTCGTACGATATTAAAATGCCACACAAACAACAACTCGTCGACGCAAATTAATGGCAATCGAAGTTAAATTAATCCCTCAAAACTCAAGGAAAGCCTCTTGTCACGTATACGAACGAAATAAGACAACGCAAAGGAGGTGGTCTTAACGCGACTTAACGATTCTCACGTAACTTCCCGGCATATAACCGACACGGCCGTCGCGGTCGATTGATTGTTCCAGACTAATCGGCCCAGCCGCCGCTCGCAAAACGAGTCCCGCCAGCCCAAGCCGTCAAATCGGTTAATCGCCGAGACGAGCGTTGGACTGCAAGTTTTAAGTGTTATGATTTGGCCTAAACAAGAAGTGAAATTACTCACAGCGTAGCAACTCCTTCCATTCATTGATGACGTAGGGCTTAGCAGCGAACTGTAGACATAGCTGCGATTACAATATATCTTTTAGGTCGCAGTGATACTGGTCTCTCTAGACCTGTATAGCTGCTTGTACATAATAAAAAAATAATAGTCCATAAACGTTACAATTTTTTTTGCGGCCTACGTAGCACTTTTCCTTTTTTTGTAATAAAACTTGAAGAATGTATCGAACTCCTTCGTCAGATTCACTAAGTTTGATGGACAGAAAAAAAATTGCGAAATGGCGGGAAAGTGGTTTTTAACTTTTATTTTTCTTTCTCTTATTGTTCTTTGTATATTGATATTAAAGCCAGCCAGATATAAACAGTACAACCAAAGAGATTTATCTGAAACTTTTCCCCGACCCATTACGAAAGTTAAAGAAGAAAACTTCGCAGTTTATGTTCACTCAAAAGTGATTTTCTCTTGAGGGGATTTTGTCATAGTAGCCACGCTTGCCAGGTGGTTAAGTTAGGTAAGGTAAGGTTAGGTTTTTATAGTTTTGAGTTGTTATCTAGAAGATGCTTCTGCCTATTTCTTATATCAGATTTCTCTCGCCCCTAACGACACCCACAAGGCGACATGGGGCAGTAAATATTCTTACAACTTCACTACACGATGGATACATTGTATTAGATAGTGGTGGTTTATAAATACATTGATAAACACAAATATGCATTTCATGCCTACAGAGATCCAATGATTGGCAATTTTGAGATCAAAGATCTATATAATTTATATTTACGTGGTAGAGCCATGCTGCAGCTATATTAGTAGTATAGTTGTAGCACGAATGGGTCGGCTCGACCGGGGAAGGACCACGCTTTTACAGAATACCAGCGTCATATAGCAGCTTCATGCTGCTGTGTTTGGTATGGTTAGTGTACAGAACCGGAGACCCTTTTTACTGGAGAAGAGGCATTCTATCTTAGTCCTCACAGGTGACAACGCATCTGCATTTTGATTCGCAAACGAGGATAAATGTAGATGTCTATGGGCCACAGCAACCACTTACCACCATGTGGACTGTGTGCTCGTTTGTCACCCTATCCTATAAAATAAAATAATAACTATAAATCCTAGTGGTTATAGTGCTTGGTTCATTTTTGAAACATTTAACTTTAATAGTAGATTAGATTTGCTTTACCGATTATTTAAATAAAATCTGAATTTTATAATAATTTGTAAATGATTAGACTTTAATATCATAATGTAAATGATATTTTGTAATCTTTCGATAGATAGAAAACATAATTTACTTAATGAGGGTTATGAGATTTCATTACATTGTATTCACTTGATAAACATAATCTACATATGAATCGACCACAAAATAAAACTGAAATGATAAAATCAATTTACTTGTCAATTTTTAGTTACAAAATTGTTTATTTCCTTTTATTTCTGTTATAAATAGCAACGTATCGTATATAATTTTCAATGCGTTGGAGACGAAAATATCAAAAAAGTACTAGTATATAACAAAGGTATACTATTATATTATAATTATTATTAATATTTAACCGTTATAATAAAAGCGAAGTTCTCCTCCTCAGTCAAGTGATTCAGCCCGGAAATCGGGAAACGATCCGTATTGTTACGGAGCTTCCGTATCTATTGCAATACCGTTCATAAACTTCGTTTTTTTTTTGTAATTTCTTTTAGGGACTAATGTTGTTTCCATGCTAAAATGCCTTGATATTCTATTATATATTGCACACTACATACATTATGTTCTTATTAAAAAATATACAATATTAAGAAACTATAATAAAAAAAAAAAACTAAAACTAATAACATAAATTAGATTCCAGTCCTACTACCCGTGGTATTGTGCCAAGGATTCTAGATGCGTTTCTTCACTGAATGGCTAACTTAGTATTTGAGCGAGAAAAGAACCAGCGCTATTATGACCAGTAGCGACGACCAGTCGCGGTTAGAGTTACTTTAGGTACTTCATCGCACATACAGCAAATGGCACAAATATGTAGTCATCTCTCAGAGACTCATATTTGCGCAACTTACTTAGTTCAGCTGCCTCTGATGACGCCCTCTAAACGAGTTACACCTGACATGAAAGGCTGCCAAAGTGTCTGTCTACACAAGTAGCATACCACACTAGGGCTTTACCTCTCTCCCAAGGGAGCAATGTCATACCGTCGGCTCTTCTGCCATTGCCTCTAAATATTCCACAAGGCTCTAGAACCTAGGGAACATTTATGGAGACAAGAGCTCTTCACCTGCCTTTATTATGGTTACATTAAATTCGAAAATTAAATTATTAATGTGAAGCTAACAGGATCGATTTTCTTGATATTTTCCACAGCTTAAAGCAATGTACTTCCTTCGTTTGCTGGTCGCGGCAATCTTGTGCCCAGCTATATTGTGTTACGATACAAAGTACGACAAATTGGACACAGATAAAATCATTGCTGATGATGCATTGTTTACTACGTATATTGATTGCTTTCTTGATAAGTCACCCTGCACACCTGAATATTCTTCTGAATTGAAAGGTTAGTGATGGTTTAAATGTATTTTTTATATTTGTGTATATGTTATTTTAATATTTTTAAAATGGTAAAGTTAGTAAATATCTAGGCTGGAAGAAATTTCAAAAATACCAGGGTGGTCTGAAAAGTTTCCGACCTTTACGTGAAGATGGCAGTAGTCGTCAATAAAAGCTAAAATGTAAGTTAAGTAAAATGTAAGAATGTAGTTGTGCATCTTTTGACAGATACGTATTAAAATTTTAGGCATATTGGACGCGTAGTTGTTGTTTGACAGTCGTTTGAGTGAGTAAATTTTTGTTTTTGAATGGCAATACGCCTACGCAAATCAAAGATAAATTAGACTCTGTGTATGGGGACTCTACACCGTTATTTGCCACAATGAAATTTCGGGCAGCTGAATTTAATCGAAGCCGTGAAAGCTTCGGATACGATGAATGTTCGGGACTTCTAAAAACTGCAACTACTGATGATATCATCGCTAAAGTTCACCAAATGGTGCTTGACGATCGCTGAATGAAATGTCCAAAGAACGTGTTTGTTACATATTAAATCAAGAATTAGGCATGAGAAAGCTGTCAGCGCGTTGGATGCCGCGGTTACTCACGTTAGACTAAAATCGTGTTCGAATGAGCATTTCCAACGCTCTGTCCGCGCAGTTTAGGAGCGATAAATTCAATTTTTGTCGCTGAATAATTACCGAATAATTATACACCCGAAACAAAAATACAGTCAAAACAGTGGACTGCAAAGGGGGAACCGGCTCCAACAACAGCAAAAATTCTTTTTTAGCTGGGAAAGTGAGGGCAACTGTTTTTTGGAGATAGTCAAGAAGTTATCTTAATCGGTTATCATTAGAAAGGAAAATTATTATACTAGCATACAATGCATTATTACTTGATAAACTGAAGGCAGGAATTGCGGAAAAACGGCCACATTTGCGGGAAAAGAATATCCTGTTTCACCATGACAACGCGCCGTCTCACGTTTCAGCGGTCGCAGACAACTTTTTTTATTTCACCAATACGTATAAAAATATTACTATTAGGTATTACACCTATGAAAAATCAACGAAATTTTTCATAGATATTGTAAAGGTATTTCTCTTTCTATACCTCTAATAACCTAATTTTTTTGGTCAAAACAACTTTTGATCAAACTCTGTGAGCAAAATACTTTTGTCCATTTTCGAAATGTAGGGTTGGCCGGGAAAAATGACTTTTTAGAGGGCAAACGAGCATGCGGTTCACCTGATGGTGGCTACCGCCGCCCATGAACAACTGCAAACCCAGGGGAACCAGCGGCATTGTAGATGCGTTGCCGGCCTTTTGAAAATGAGTAGGCTCTTTTCTTGAAGATCCCTAAGTCGTATCGGTCCGGAAAAATCGCTGATGGTTATCGATTCCACAAGGAAGTTGTGCGAGGAAGAAAACATCTTCTAAATCCCACGGTGGTGGACCGCCAAGCATCCAGATGGTGTGGATGGTATCTAACTGTATATATTGCACACTTGTGGTTCTTGGCAAAAAAGGAAAAAAATCGTCTAAAAATTCACACATATACATTCATATATATATATATATATATATATATATATATATATATATATATATATATATATATATATATATATATATATATATATGTATATAACGTATGTACAAAAACGTAGTTATATAAACGTGTTAGAAATCATCAGTGAACGAAAAAAACTTTTTATTATTTTTCAGAAATACTTCCAGAAGTTATAAAAGAATCGTGTGGTAAATGTTCTCCACTGCAAAAGCAAAACGTAAGGAAAATAGTAAAAACTCTGTTCGAGAGGATGCCGGAAAATTCTAAGGAATTCAAGAAAAAATACGACCCAAATGGCGAATATGAGGCTGATTTTATGGCGTTTGTAAACGGTGCAGACTAAAGCTAACGTTCCGCTTTGACTTTTAGGAAGAAACTTGTACATGGCGTAATATAATTTTGCAAGCATGAACTAAGATTTTTAATTTTTATAATATTCGACCTACCTTAACTGACTGACGATTTAAGCCTTTTACGACGATTTAAGATTTTTAATCACTTCTTATCAGAAACATTTTTTCTTACCTACCTAGTTCAAAGAAATTAGTAAAATAATTAGTTTGTATGAAATACGAATATATAAAATGAAAACTTCTTACAATGCTAAGGTAAAACGAAGATTATTTTGTACCAATTCAAAATGTTTGGATCAAAAAATAATTAAATAAAAATCCTAAGAATGCCCTAAAAAGATAGGTTTTAAATCTAAATTAAGACACTTTTCCCACAAATACGAGTACGTACTTCAATAGAGCAATTGTAACGTTGAGTTTTTAACACTAGCAAGACGGGAAAAACAGCTAACCTACAAAGACGGTTATGGGTCATTTGACCCATCACTGTTACCAAGCCTCTAATTAGCCATATACGTATGGTATAATTGTAGAAATAAGTCAATATTCATTGTGACATATTTTTGGTTTCTAGTATTAATATCAACATCATTATCATTAAAGCCCTTCACAAGTCCACTGCTGAACATAGGGCTCCCCCAAGGAATGCCACAAAGCACGGTCCTGAGCCACCTACATCCGTCGACTACCTGCATGACTTACCAGGTCGTCACTCCATCTAGTGGGGGGTCGCGCTACAATTTGTCTACCGGTCCATTGCCACTTCAGCTTAGTAAGCCGTTCGGCTATTCCGTTCACTCTGTTTCTACTGCGAATATCCTCATTTCTAAGTTTATCACACAGTGAAACCTCAAGCAGAGCCGTCTACATAGCTCGATGAGCGCCTTTGAGCTTCCTCATACGTCCAGCAGTGAGGAATCACGTCTCAGCTCCATAAGTCATTTCTGGCAACACGAACTGGTTGTACAATCTGGTTTTCAAGTTTTGAGGTATATCTGACGAGAAGATGTGTTGTAATTTCCCGATCGCTGCCCAGCCGAGCTGAATCGGTCGATTGAACTCTCAGTCGAAGTTGGATTTACCTAGTCGGACTATTTGTCCCAGGTAAATATTCGTCAACAACTTCGAGTTTAGGTCTTTGTTTTGTCCATGTTCATCTTAAGACCTATCCGTTGGGAGGCACTTTTGAGGTCATTGAGCATAGTGCAGCGATTCTACCATAAGGATTATATCGTCAACAAATCGAGGGTAAGTGATGTACTCGCCATTGATGTAAATACCGTATTCTTTTCAGTCCAATAGCTTGAAAACGTCTTCCAATGCAGCGATGATGAGTTTCGGTTATATTACGTCACCCTGTCTTATACCTTTCTGCAGTTGGATATGTTTCATAGTCTCGTCCTGTACTCGGATAGTCATTGTAGACCTACTGCACAAACACTTTAGCACTTCGATATACCGACAGTCAACTTAGCACCGCTGAACGGACTCAAAACCACCCGAATTTCGACGGAAACAAATGCTTTCTCATAGTTCACATACGCAGGAAATAGTGGCAAATTGTACTCCTCGCCTTATGTACAATTTGCCACAGGGTATGTATGTGATCTATGGTACTAAAACCTTTCGGAAACCGACTTGTTCGGGAGGCTGAAAGTCGTCGAGTCTGTGTGCGAGACGATTCATAATGACTCTCAAAAACAGTACGTAGACGCGGCTCAAAAGGAAAATCGTTCTGTAGTTCTTTAAGAGAGCATTGACGCCTTTCTTGAAGAACAAAACCACCGCACTTCTGCTTCACGCCTCCGAAGTAGTACCACCATGGAGGATGGAATTAAAGAGCTTCTGAAGGGCTTCAAGTACCGGCTTCCCAACCGTTTTCAGAAGCTCCGCTGTAATTCCATCCTCGCCAGGGGACTTGCCGTTCTTAAGATGCTGGAGAGCTATTTTAACCTCGCTCAGACTCACGTCCTTGATATCATCGGAATAGTGTCGGGTAAGAATTGTGTCCCGGAAATGATGCTGCCACATTCGGTTTTCAGCTTCTACAGTTGGCTCTTTTTGGCATACAGGGATCTCCCTGGCAAAGACTTTGGAGCCCTGCTTCCAAAGTCTTTGGAGTAATGAATGCATTTACTAAAATATGTAGATATGTGAAGCAAGATCAGTCAACAAACTTTAAATTACCCTACCCACAATAACAATAATCTATTGTATAGGTCAAATGACCCTAGCTGTCGCTGTATGTAAATGCTATATTTATTCATATTTGTATGAACCATACTTCTATGTCAAATACTTTTGTTTAAAAACAATCGTAATTCATTAAAGTCACGAAGTACGGACTATATATATATTTGTTTATACAACTGTATAAACAAATATATATATAGTCCGTTCGCGTTAAGAAAATAGTGAGTCATCGTTGTACGCCGGCCTGGCCACGCCCCGCAGCCAATTAAAATCCAAGAAATTAGAAAGTCGAGTTCACAGTGACCAGTTGAAGTCAGGCCTTCGAACAAAACGGTTCTGTATTTTGCGTGTTACTCGTTCAACATTAAATTTTGAAAATGAATACCTCACCTATTCGAAAGAATAAAAGTGGATCAATAATCCATAGCGGAGAGAGACGCGTAATTTATAATGTTTATAAATACTTTAAACTGTGTGATTTAAATGCGACTGTGAAGAGCACAGTAATAAAAACAGCAAGTGCATGTGGTGTGTCCGAAATTATGTTTATAAAATTATTAAAGAACAAAAGGATACTAACACATTAAAATCACCCGTGAAAAAAAGAGCTCGACTATCGACGGTCGATATATTAGATGAACTAGACAAATGTGCAATAAGGAGAAAAGTTCACTCAATATATTTAAATAACGACTACCCGACATTGAACAAAATTATGACACTTTGCGAAGCTGACGAAGATATTCCTGTTTTTAAACGTACCACACTTCATAAAATAATACACGAGCTTGGTTTCGATCAATAAACAGGATAGCACAACATTGTCAGTCGAAAGAGAAGATATTGTTTTATGGAGGCGTAAATATCTGAGGCAAATAAAAGAATACAGAGCCGCTAATAAAACCATTTACTATCTTGACGAAACGTTGGATACAACGGTAAAAAATAAAAGACAAGCTTTTCTAGATGGCTTATCAGCCGGTCCAAAAGCTCGAACAGGAAAAGGTAAAAGGTTAATTGTATTGCACATTGGCAGCGGCAAAGGATTCGTGGAAGATGGTCTACTAGTATTTGAATCTAAGTCTACAAAAGACTATCATGAAGAGATGGATGGTGAAAGATTCCTTAATTGGTTCATTAATATAATGCCTAAGCTAGAACCAAGAAGTGTGGTTGTCATGGATAACGCTCCCTATCATTCGGTAAGAGTCGAAAAAATACTAACAACCAGCTGGAACAAGCAGCAAATAATAGATTGGCTGCAAAGCAAAGGCAAATCCATGGACATGACTTATTTAAAAAAAGAATTATTAATGAAAGTTGCCGAAATCGCCCCACAATATAATAAATATTTAATAAATAAGACTGCCAAAAGTAATGGCATAACAATTCTTCACCTACCGCCTTACCATTGCAAACTTAATCCAATTGAATTGGTTTGGGCCCAAATAAAAAATTATGTTGGTGCCAATAACTCGACGTTCAAATTGAGTGACATAAAAAAATTATTAGATGACGCAATAGCATTAATAGACGCTAATCGTTGGAAGAAGTGCTGCGACCACGTGATACGCGAAGAAAATACCATGTGGAATTTGGATGACATCATGGAACTTGCAGAACAAAATTCTTTCATAATTAATGTAACTGGAGAATCTAGCGATACTGATTAGTGATTTAAGTAATTTTAAGAAAATTTGTTTCCATTAAACTTAATTAAATGCTGAAAAAAAAAAGAATTTTTACTCCACTGTGAATACACCTTTACCCTGTAGTTGCACTGATGACTCACTATTTTCTTAACGCGAACGGACTATAGTGACAAAATAATCAGTGCTGCAAATTCAAATTTCAGTAAATGACCCGTGGCGCCTATCTATTAGCGTTTTTGTCATGCCTACTAAACGCTCCGCCACGCTGCACGCTTGTCACTAAATTTCGTCACTAAAGTTAGTATGCAGAGTTTGAGGGTAACGCTCTCAATGGATTTTCTTTCAAATTCTTTCACGCATTACAGGCTATGAAAATTCCATTACTGAATATAGGCTTCATATCTGCCACGCTTGGCAGGTGAATTGGCAACCGTAGTTTCTATTACTTTTGATTGTTACTAAATAGATGCTGCTGCCCATCATCTGTTTAAGTTTCCTGCTATCGTCTCCACTACACAGAGTAACGTAAATTGCTGCAAGTGTCAATATCTATTAACTTTGGGAGATATTGACACTAGCACACCCCGCTGATTGGTTTACGACGCGAACGATTGAGACGCATTCCCGTTTGCATCCTCGTCTAAAAATAAAAAATAAACACATCAACGGTCAACTGTACTTTATTATGCTTCTAGCTGATATTATTATTCTTAATCGAAGATAAATATAGGTGTCTAAGGGCCACAGCATCCACTTTTCATTAAATACAGATTACGTTGTTTCCCCTGAGGACTAAGATAGGAAGCCTCGTGACTAGTAAATGGGTCTTCGGTGCACGTCACTTACCATTTGAAAAATAATACAAGCATAGTAATGATATTTCATGTTAGTATTGTGTGCAAGCGTAGTCCCTCTCTAAGAAATCAGAAGATGGGCATTCCTAATAACGACTAAAACAAAAAAAAACTGCGGTTGCCAACGCACTTGTCAAGCGCGGCAACTTTGGCAAATATCCCCTCTATGATGCAATCTCAGGGGCGGCCTATCTACAATAGTGGACTTTATTAGGGTGTAAGCTGTAGCGGTAACGGTTGTCCCTCTGTAGGAGAACTTACAAATTCGTTCTGCAGTCATAATACGCTGCAGTGCGGCTCTACCACATACTGTACCGTATTTTTTTATGGAAATTAAATTAAATGTAATTGAAATGAAAACTCATTACTTTACGACGGGAGAAATTAAAATTTTGTTTGTCTAACGTCAACATGTTTTTAATCTATGGAGTCTCCGTCCAATACATCGGATTATCACACATGTCACATTTTTAGACCTCTCGGAACAATTCGTTTTTTAAATATTATTTATAAGTTTTATACAACTAAAATTCTAATTTTTTTAATTATAATTACAAAAAAAAAGTCTCGTAACAAAATACGAAAATAAAGATTATACGAGAAATATATTAAGAGAATTTACTTCAAATGACGCCCTTCCCCCATTATGCTACTTTACAATTAAAACTACGTCGGCTTCACAGGTCTTTAAAGCAATTGACAAATCGTATCGATGGCGCTGTTACAGAATAATTTCATTTGTAAAAGGAGACGGTCCATTTCTGGCCCACTCTATGTACACTATACTGTAAAAGAGAGAAAAATTCAGGGATTTTGTTAAAAATAAAATAAGAGAATAAGTCAAACTAAATAACGTGCAAAAAATAAAAATGCAATCCTAAGTTTTTGATGGTTTTACAGGATGGCGCCCTTTCAGTCATAAAAACTAAAAAGACGCGGTTATATGTCAAATGTCATTTCTGTCAAGTGATATTTTTATTTATTCCGAGCTTGGTCGTGTAGTTGTGAACTCGTGAATGCGTTTAATTGTGGATTTCTTTGGCGATTTGGTTTGTTGTTTGGACTTTGGATCTGTTTTCTACTTGTTTGACTCATTTCTTCGTTGATATCGGAAATCTGTATTCTGTAGTCACATTTTGAAACAGTAAGCAGGTATGTACTAAAGAAAGATGTTTCCTTATGTTATTAAACGCATTTGAATGACATGCTTCTATCTGTAGTCGGTTAATATTTATTAATTTCTACACAAGTTCATAATGGCTGCAAAATCTTAATATGATGTAATTATCTTTCAGTTCACCTGTTATAACATGTTGCACTGTTTAAAATGCGCTTCTGCAATAGTAGAAAATGAGCAATATTACATTGCTGGAGATATGGGTCCAGAAATCATTACCATTCTGGAAAATGCAGATCAATTGGTAGGAACACACATACTTTAATCAGATTACTTGGCAATATCTGGTCCATAGAAAATGTTAGTGTATTAAAATAAGATTATGTTTTAGATGGATGAAAATGGACCAATATGTTCACAATGTTTTGCAAACATATTGCAAGAATTATCTGTCGGTTTAAATCTTGAAAATGAGCTCCAGCGCCCTAATGCCAATACTATCAATATATTGTGTGTTTGGTGTCAACGAAGACTGGGTAGCGGACGTTGTCATTCTGTTTCAGAGGGGCCTGAGAGATATTATATCTCTGAAAGAATTTCTCCAAGACAAGTGAGTATTTATGTTTAGGCTTACTAATCTGAATATTCATGATCTCAGCAGTAAATAAAATAAACAATTATGTATCAAATATTTATTTGTGACATACGATATATAGATGACAAACGAGCACACAGTTCACCGAATGATAATTGGATGCAGTGGCCTACAAACATAATCATTTATTTCTGATTACGAATCAAAATTCAGATGTGTTGTCACCCCTAAAGACTATGATGGAATGCCTTGTTTTCAGTAAAAAGGATCTCCGGTTCTCTACACTCACCATACGAAACACAGTAGCGTAAAGCTGCTATTTTACGCTGGTATTCTGTGAGAGCGTGTTCATTCCCCAGGCAGGCCAACCCATTATTTTCATTCATGTATTCCTTAATATTATAATAGCACTGCCTCGTTGGTTCAATGATCGTAAACGCGATTGCTGATCATTTTGTCTCGGATTCGAATCCCGGGTCTGGTCAAAATCAGTAATTTGGTTTTTCTATCAAGAAATTCTAAGTAACAACTCAGAGTTAGGAAATTGACGGTGTTTCTCTCCCGTACCTCGGCCCCGCTCGAGTCCACCCAATCGAGTTACAATCATACTTTCTGCAGCGTGGCTCTACCACGTAGTAATAGGTATTATATTGTTACAGATACCTGAAGGTGCAGTGGTTTGTCATCTTTGTTGGACAAAAACTCAACAAGAATTACGTAGACAAGGAGTTTCATATGTGCCATCACCTAATACAATTTTTTGTATATCGTGTTTTCGGTCACTTGCCAACACACGCAGGCACTCAATACCAGATGGCTCAGAACGAAATGAAATTATAGCTAGGATCCATCCTAGAAGAGTAATATTTTATGTATTTTCTAAGTCTATATGTACTAAGTAAAAAATACCTCTTTTAAAAATAATCCAACAGTTAAAACTTATTGTCTTGTTTTGAACAGATATTTGAAATATTTTTCTATTTTTAGTTATTTGACAAATAAAGATAAGCTCTCTCTGCACTAGGGGCTTATGAAAATATGAATTACTAGCTTTTGCCGGTGACGGTTAGCTTGTCCTTGTGTAGTTTGATTTAAAATCGCTCGGCAACCCTTTGCTTTTCCAGGATTGAAAGTAGCATAAAGGTCCTCAACTATACACAGGCATTGCTCACATAGCTCACATGGCTTTGATCATATAGCTATGTTACAGCACGATTGAATGATAAACCAACAAACAAACACATTTTCGCATTTATAATATTAGTACTTACACATTTAACAAAACTAATATTATAGAAAATAATAAAGAAAGAATACATATTCATTCATTAACGATGCCACAGACAAACGAATATACTAAAATAACATTAATCGTCTGTGACACCACTCAGGATGGGTATTACAGCTCAGCTTTTTGCTTAGCATCATATTAAAATTAGGTTACCTCCGATTAAACCTATGTTTGAAACTAAAATATAAATATATTAAACTTAACTTAATAACTTTTTAAGCAAATGTTTTAAATTAAAAAAAAATATTGCTAAAATGTGCAACTATATTATATAGTTCATTTTTATACAATATTCTTTTTAATCCCCTACAGATTCCTCCTGGCGGATGTGTCTGTTATGCGTGCTGGATTGCAGCGTGTAGAAATGTGCAAAGAGCTGCTAATATTGAGGAAGGGCAGCAAAATCCAGAACCTTCATATCAACATTATGGAGCAGACTGTGTTTGGTGTAAAATGCCTTTATTTCAAAGGCAAGTTCGTATTTTACGTGACGGCCCTGAAGTGTCAGATAGTATTTATCCCAATGAGGTAATTAAATATAGTATTTTCTACATTTTATGTAAGCATTCTAATAATTACTTTACTTGAATAAGCCAGTTATGAATAAATTAAACAATTTATTTGTATGTATGATCATTGGTGCACATTTTTATTGTACATTATTAACCCATTGCTGACCCACAACTGGGCATACGTTTCTTCTCAGAAAGGGAATGGTTTAAGCCATAGTCCACCGCGCTAGCCATGTGCAGATTGGCACACTACACACACTTTAGTAATTGAACATGTTGTTCATAACAAGTAGGTAAGCTTTACTTAAATATTTTTTGTTTCAGTTACCAGAACATGCCCTCTTGTGTATTGATTGCTGGGCACGGGCACAAGAACATGTGCAAATTGCTGAAGGCAGTGTAGTGCAGCCTGCTGGAACAACAAATCCTTCGATAAGCCTGGCAGATGATTATAAGCATACACCAAATTCTAGCAGACATTGTTTCGTTCCATTTTGTACCAACCCTGAGAGGCTCAATGTGCCAGATTTTTTAAGGAAGAGGATTTTGCAATCAACAAAAATATATGTCACAGAAAATTGCAGAATTTGTGCTACCTATAATTGGGAGTTTTTAGAAGAAAATGAATTCTCAAGTAATTTCACACAGGCAG